GTTCTTTTAACTGACAAAGATTTTAATAACATAGACAATTTTAACATTTTACTTATTATGCCAATGAAATACATTGCATGATTTAACTACAGTTTCCGGGCAGCAACGCGCGATAGTCCCTTGCATTCAATGCACCCAATAAGACTGAAAAAGAGGGCAAACAATTGACCCTCGTCGTCCAGCAACTTTCGGAAAACTACATCACGCAAAGTTGCACTGATTTAAAGCAAAACAAAAAGGCTATCTTTAAAACGGGGAACGGGGAATCGGGGAATCGGAGAATCGGGGAATAGGGGAATAGGGGAATAGGGGAATAGGGGAATAGTCTCTTTTCTCTTTTCTTAATTCTCTCTAGCCTTTGAAATGACTCAGAATTACTGTAAACGTAAATTAACTCCCGGCAATCTTGAATCGCCGATACATTAATAAGTTTAGGGTCGCAAAATAAAAGCATTTCTCTCAAAGAGACAGCAAACAGTGTGGAATGAGTTCACCAAAAGCAATTCTCTCAAGGAGACAGCGAACAGTGTGGAATGAATTCATCCGGCGGCCATTTCCGGTGAGCAACGCGCGATAGTCCCTTGTTTTCCAGAGGAGAAACATTAGCTCGTTATGCTAGTACTGAACCACGATTAAGACATTTAATGTACCCAATAAGACTGAGAAACAGGGCAAACCATTGTCCTTCGTCTTCCGGCAACTTTCGGGAAATTTTCGATTAAACAAATTTGCAGATTTATAGCAGCCCAAAAGTGCTATGAGCGAAACGATGAGTGTATGGTACAATGAGATCACTTTACTCGATTACTTTAGCATCAAGAGAGAAAAGTTGACCACCTATGCAGACGACTGACACATATAAACAGAACATAATGCCTATCCTTTATCCAGCTGATTTGTTTGTCTGCGCCAAGTCCCTTTCACAGCAGATCTCAGATTTGGCAGATCTCGTTTCTTTCCTTTACNCGATTAAGCAAATTTGCAGATTTATAGCAACCCAATAATGCTATAAGCGAAACGATGAGTGTATGGTACAATGAGATCACTTTACTTGATTACTTTAGCATCAAGAGAGAAAAGTTGACCCCCGATGCAGACCACTAGCGTATATAAACAGAACATTATGCCTACCCTTTATCCAGCTACTTTGTTTGTCTGCGCCAAGTCCCTTTCACAGCAGATCTCAGATTTGGCAGATCTCGTTTCTTTCCTTTACCAGCGGAGCCCTCGAAATAACTCAGAATGACTGCAAAATAGGAACGTAAATGAACACCTTTGAGTCTAGGTTCTTATGCCGCCGATAGCTTTTTAAATTTACTTGTCTATAAATGAAAGAATTAATGCAAAACAGACAGCGAACAGTGTCACTGATTCCAGTACAATGTACCATCACTGCCCCGTGTGCAAGCAAGAAAATTATAGGAATGAATTTACCAACCTTTAAGTTGCTATCCACTGTTTCTTTACAACTGCTGACTGCTTGCAGCACAATAGCGCCAGTAGCGGTTTTCTGAAGTGACGGCTTCTTCAGGCCTTTGGAACGACAAACTAGCGGAGATCTTGGAGATCGGCCGTGTTCATCACTTTCTAAAATCCAAAACGAAAGAGCCACCAAAGTTTTTGTCCTCATCAGGCACAAGAGGCGGTATATTTATATCTGTTTACAATTTTACAGCTCAATAGCGTGCTTCGTTTGGAATCAAGAGCATTTTGAATTTCAGGGTTATGGAGGTGCGTGACACAAGGCTATGATCGAGTTTGTCGAAAAATAT